TTTTACCGGAAATGCCAGGTGGCCTCCGAGCTTTGCTGTTTCTGGTATGGAATCATTAAAAACTGCTTCTGGGTCCACCAGTTGGGATTTTACTGTGAATTGTTACAAAAATACAGGACCCTTTAGCCTAACCATCAGGAACTGGTACCCAGCTTGCATTTTGCTTATCCTCTGTTACGAAATGCAAAGGTGGGTAAAAATGGAGCACTCTAAGAATTTATAGATACTGTAAATGATTACAAAGTACTTTCAACATTTGGGAAGAAGTTTCTAATTATTTTTGGCTGTTGCAAAGTAGTACAAATGAAAACATTTGGTTTTCGTTTTGTAACTAGTGCTACCTAGAGAAACTATCTGTTCGGCCTTTAGTGGCTCACGTGGGTTTTCTCCCGAGTGATTGAGGTGAGCAAATTATGCCAGTTTAAGGTAAGAACAAGATAGTTCAGTGTTTTCTTTCTTTCTTTTCCTTTCCTTTTTTTTTTTTTTTTTTTAAGAATTTATTTATTTGAGAGAGAGAGAGCCAGAGAGAGAGCACGAGTGGGAGACGGGGAGAGGGAGAAGCAGACTCCCCGCGGAGCAGGGAGCCCGATGCGGGGCTCGATCCCAGGACGCTGGGACCATGACCTGAGCCGAAGGCAGATGCTTAACGACTGAGCCACCCAGGCGCCCCAAGATAGTTCAGTGTTAATTTATTTTTATTTTTTGCCTTTTGGATAATTCTTGTCAACGGGTGAGGGGCTTCAACTAGGAGCAAGAAGAGAAGGGCGAAGGTAAAAGTAAGGCCTTTTGCTTTCAGAATTCGAAAATTTTCAAACTTGCTTCAGATGTTTACTTAGATGCTCTAAAACTGAAAATCTACATCCTTGGCTTGGAAGGTCAGTGAGTGACCCAGAGAGAATGCAGTGACTGCTTTTCGGGATATCTGTGGATGCATTCAGTGCTCTTGTTACTCTGTTTCTTCTATACTTTTGCTAAGAATTATGGAATTTAAAAGTTTACCGTATAAAATATCTGGCACTTCTGTGCTCCACCCTGATGCGCTGTGATGCACCCACTTACCTCGCACACTACCTTTCCCCAGCTCGGGTCCTCCCCCGTTGGGGCCCAGAGCCTCTCTCCCTGTGTCAGGGTGGCGGGGGTGGGGGCTCCTGGGAGTTGCCTGCCTGTTGACAGTTGGAGTTGGGGTCTGTGTGTAACAATGGATCTGTTTCTTAGAAACTATGCTGCTTGCTAAGAAAATTACCCTCTTCATTTCTGGTTTTAGTAGGGAGGCCTTGGCATTTGTCCAACAGTTAATGAGAATTCATGGTACAATTATGTTATATTTTTTTCTCAGTTCTTTCTGTGTTTGACACATGGTGAAAATTAAAGAACCTTGAGTGGAAAATGCATCAATGAAATAAAAGCAATTATGTTCTGGCCTTGGTTTTTTTTCCTCTATAACTATATATTTTTCAGAGGATTAATTAAATGCTAGGATGTACCTATTCCTTTCAGTGTTTGCTGGGAGATTGATTGCACGCTACTTTGCCCTCAGATGAAGTGATGCTTTCATAATTTCTAAAGATAACTGAATTGTCTGAGTTTTTTATCTTTTAAAATAAATTGTCTTATTGCTCTTACTGATAAAAACCCGGCTACAGTCCAACTATCAGGGTAAATTAGTGTATTGTTTGTAGAAACTAGCTCTTCTCTTTTAAGTGAATAACTGATAAATACAGTTTGTATGCAGTTCATCTAATCTTTTGAACGGTAGGCCACAGAGCAATTGGGTGACCTTTTAGATTACTCATGGTGGGCTTATAATGTTTTAAAAAATTTCTGTCAGGAATAATTGACGTGTATCTTCAGGTGATGATAGCTTAATTATAGTAGTACCGATTATCCCTCAAAGCTGTCACTAGTTATGTTTTTAAAATTAGAAAGGGGGAATATAAATTTAAAAAAATCTTAAAATATAAAGATCAATAAATACCTTGGTAATTTCAATTTGTATCTAAAGATAAGAAATTTGAGTTGAAAATAAATATAGTGATCTCATCCTCTTGGTCATAAAAGTATTGGCCTTTATTCAAATATCTACTTATAAGGAGATTGGCTGTGTATAATTGATACCACCTAGCTAGGCCTGACTTAACAGGGATCAAATATAAGACCTTAACATCATTAAAAATCTTGTTTCTTTAAATATTTATCCTTGGGAGTAGATTTCCCTGAACAGAAAAAAAAATCTTTTTTGTTTGATTGCCTTGGAAAAGTGATATTACTGAGAAGTTTTTTTGTTTTTGTTTTTGTTTTACTGGCACCCTATGTTCACTCATTGGTATGAATTACTCAGTTCTTTTGGACAGTATTTTTTCTGATTTAAAAATATTTACTAATTAAAAATTTTTGAGCATATTAACAGAGAAAGTTTATTAGTAATCCCATCATGAACAGATGACCTGTTAATATTTTTTGTATATTTCTCTCTTTGTGTATCAGATACTGTGCATGCATGATATTTTATAACCCTTTTTACTTTAATTTGAAGTAAATAATGAAAAAAAACTTTTCAACCTTCATTGAGTATATTTCTGAAGCATACTATTTTGCATTCCTGCTTAACCAAATAACATGTTTTTTTTTTAATAATGAAAACTTCACGCCATTAAATTTTATTATTCTGTACCAAGACTTCATAAAGCATGATCTCTGAAACTCCTGAATATCAGCACATAAAAGTGTATTTTGTGGATATATGCACTGTTTTTTTCCTGGGAAGAAGATCTGTGTTTTTTTTTCACCTGGTTCTCAGAACGGTTTGTGTTAGTTAAGAATGAACTTTAGTTTTAATGACTACATGATACTGTTTTATAATTTGTTATATATTCCCTTGTCTTTAGACAAGTAGTAGTATATTGGAAGTGTAATGTACTCTGACCAAAAATATCTTACTCTAGTAATGCAAGGATGCTATTTTATTCATAATTTTTTCATCTGTATTCACAAAGGAAACTGGCCTATACTTTCCATTTTGAGTATTATTTTTCTTTTAAAGATTTATTTATGAGAGCGAGAGAAGGGGCAGAGGGAGAAGGAGAGAATCCTCAAGTAGACTCCGTGCTGAGCCTAGAGCCCGACACGGGGCTCGATCTCAAGACCCCAAGATCATGACCTGAGCTGAAATTGAGTCAGCCACTTAACCAGGTGCCCATTTTGGGTATTACTTTTACAGGTTTTGCTAGTGTTATATGAGACCCATAAAATAAACTGAAGCATTCTGTATATTTTTCTGTGGTCCAGAATACTTTAACATAAGAATGTTGTTTTTTTTTTTAAGTTAAGTAGGCTCTGTGCCTTAGTGATAACATTTTACATTTCTGGTTTCAAGTTCTCTCTTCTTGGGTTAATTTTGGTTATTTATGTTTTGCTAGGAAATCATTAATTTTATATTGCTATATAATTACTGAAAGTATTTTTAAAGTTCTTTAAATACATTTCGTCTCTGTGGACACACTTCCCTTAGTGAGGGTTGTGTGTTGTTCACCTGGTTATTTGGAACTTGTGTCAGAATCACCGAAGAGGCACTTCAGATATGTTATGACTTAACTGGATTTTACAGTCCCGCTAGGGAGCCAAGTTGCCGTGCGTAACATGGCCCGTGCTGAGTCTCAAAGCCTCCACCTCCTAACTTAAGACACTAGCAAGTACTGAGATTGTGGTCCAAGTGCCATTTAAAAGGAACTGGGGCTCCTTGGAGGAGGGGCTGAGTCTAGGTCTGGGGGAGAAAGGGAGATGAGCCTAGAGCATCTAGAAGCAAAGAAGACACCTTGGCGCAGGTCTAAAGGACTTCGCAGCCACCTTGGAGAGGCTCTCGTCATCCCAGAATGGGAACCCTGGAGTGCCAATAAGGATAACAAGTGTATGGGTTGGAACACAGATGCACTTAACTCCAGGTTCATGATGATGAAACACAAAGCCCACTGGTCACCACTGGAGGCTGGGAAATAAAGATGCCATCAAATACCCCCTCAGCCTCTCTTGATCTAGTCAGCTTTCCTCCCTTTTGATCTGTTGATATAATTAATGACAGTGGGAGTTTCTGATGAGGTGTCCTAGTTCAGAGGAAAAGATGGTGCACCAGCTGACTGGCAAAATCTGGATGAGCAAGGATGAGAACATGGAACGTCCTGCTTGTGGGAGTGTCAGTGGACATGGCTATTTGGAAAGGAAGTCTGGCATGTCTGTAAGAACTAAGACTTGCTTTGACTGAGCAGCTCTATCTGAAATCGAGTTTGCAGAGATGAAAGCATGATTCTATTAGGACATCTGGCTGAAAGACGAGAGTGGCCTCGTTGTGGGAGCAGGTGAGCTGGAATCTAGCAATTTAGCTGGCTCCCAACACCCATGCCATTTCTGTTGTCAGAGGTCAGGCTGGTCAATGGGGTCAGCGAAGGTGAAGAGCACAGTGGACAGCGGAGGAGCGTCTGAGCAGGGCTGGTTCTCGGGAAGGTCACTTCCTGCAGCGCTCTTGGTAGAGGGGTGCTGCCCACCTGTACGTCCAGGTCTCTCTGGAGCCCTCATTCCAGGAGCGGAGTATGTTAGCTTTGGGCCCTCTGAGCTCCAGACTTGGGGGCTCTGCAAGAGAGAGCCTGTGGAGGGCTGCACACGGGCGGGGGGTGGGCAGCTCCCCTCTAGAGGCCTGCATGTTTTTACTGAGGGAGGAGAAGTCCACCCTCTCACCCAGACCCTCGAGGTTACACAGCAGAGGGTTACCACTGATGCTCATCGTGAAGACTACGTCTTCGGGAATTCTTCATTTAAAAAGTCTGGGACACACGTGATTCCGTTTAGAGAGTGATGTATCCAAAGTGCTTTTTAAGGCAAGTTTTGCCGTGTCAAGGGCGAGTCTCCTGTGTCTCGAGAGCCTTGCTCCCAGGAGGACTCCTTTGGTGTTGCCGTCAGCAGATAGTTTGCCGCGAGGGTCACTGTCTGATGGGCTGTGTCTCTGCTCTCAGTTTTTTGTAGCCTCCGACCCGGCAGTGAAGACAGACCGTCTGTGGCAGGACAAATACACCTTGCGGAAATCCATGATCCCCTCCTTCATCACAATGGACCAGTCCAGAAAGGCAAGGCCGGGAGACGGACTCGGGGCTCTGTAGCTGCCTGCATCCTGTGACAGAACCAGTCTTCTTAAACGCAGTGTTACTGCATTTTAGGATTAGGAGCGTATATGGATTGAGTACATTGACCTCTTGATATGTGTTTGTTAGTAATGTCTTTTCAGCTCCTAGAATCCACGTGACACTATGTCAGACATTCTTGTTCTTTAGTTTTTTTTGTTTTGTTTTGTTTTTTTAAATTTTATTTATTTATTCATGAGAGACAGAGAGAGAGAGGCAGAGGGAGAAGCAGGCTCCCCGCCTAGCAGGGAGCCCGATGCGGGACTCGATCCCAGGACCCTGGGATCATGACCCGAGCCGAAGGCAGACACTTAACCATCTGAGCCACCCAGGCGCCCTGTTCTTTAAATTAATAGTTTGTTGCGTATGAATACTTGTAGTAGTTGGATGATTGATCATTTTTATTTAAAGGTAACTCTAAGCTATTTTCCTTTTCAGGTCCTTTTGATAGGAAAATCAATAAATTTCTTGCACCAGGTTTGTCACGACCAGACGCCCACTACAAAGATGATAGCAGTGACCAAGTCTGCAGACTCGCCCCAGGACGGTACGAGCGTGATGGGGAGGTGGGGGCTGCCTGTAAACATACTGCTTGGAGCCTTCTCCGTCCAGGAGGATTGACTGATTTTCCGAACTGTTATCCAAAATACCTTAATACATAGTGTGATGGGTATGAAATATTACTCTGCAAATTTTCAATTCCTTTTTTTTATGTGGAGTTAACAAGTATTGGGCGAGTAGCTGTTTTATGCTTCGTAATTCCTCTTAGTAATTTATACTGCTATTTTTTTAAAATGCTATAGTGATGGTTTGCTGAGCTAAGAAAGGACAGATGTTGCTGATGGTGGCCGCAGCTACCCCAGAGGCTTATTCAGGGATCAGCAGGGATTGACAAGTGTATTCGGAGTGCTGTGTTAAATTGCCGCCTGCTCTAAACGTTGTCTGGTTCCCTCCTTTGCTGCTGTCCTCTTCCGCTTCCCCCATTGGCTGCCCACCCCCCCCACCCCAGTAATTCCACAGCGGTTTGTGCGTGGCCGACTTAACGTGTACAGCTTTCTGGTCTTGGCTGTGTTTGCTGCTCACGTGCTCATTCTGACTCTGTGCGAGGGACAGCGTGGTAGGTGTAGGCAGGACGGTAGGAATGATTGTTCATGGTGGTGGCTGTGCCTTTCATGGAGAGAAACATGTACAGTAAAATGAAATCATGAATTATCAGTAGTAAAAGGAAGTGCCAGGTGAGACAGACAGATAAAGCTGTCAGTGTATGGTACTGTAGGGTTGGTTGTAGGCGCTGGGTGTACGCTAGACCCAGGCCTTATTCACCTGGCGTCACTAGACCTTTGTCCCCTGGGACTGTCCTCTCCTCCCCTCAGCCCTGCAGCCACCAGCTCACTCCTGCTCTGAGTTGGATGGCTTTGGATTCCACACAGAAGTGATACCAGCTGGTATTTCCCTTAGCATAATGTTCCCCAGGTCCGTCTGCGTTGCCACAGCGGAATTGCCTTCTTTTTAAAGGCTAAGTCATACTCCATTTTGTGCGTATCCCACATTTTCTTTAACCATTCGTCTCTCGGTGGATGCTTGGGCTGCTTCCGTATCTTGTGTATTATAAGTAATGCTGCAATGAACATAGGGTGCACGTATCTTTTCAAATTAGTGTTTTCATTTTCTTTGCGTAAATACCCCGTAGTGGAATTACTGGATCATGTGGTAGTTTTATTTTTAATTTTTTGAGGACACTCCAAAGCGTTTTCCACAGTGACCGCACCAGTTTGCATTCTCACCAGCTGTGCCCAAGGGCTCCCTTTTCTCTGCATCCTCGCCAACACCTGTTGTTCTCATGTTTTTGATTCTGGCCATTCTGACAGGTGTGAGGTGCTGCCTCTCTGTGGTTTGATTTGCATTTCCCTGACGGTGAGTGGTGTTGAGCATCTGCTCATGTGCCTTTTGGCCCAATTTGATTTTTAGTGTCTGAGAGAACTCACTGGAGGAGGTCTCCAGAGTGTACTGGAAGAGCTACACTGAAAATCCAGATGGAGGTCAGGGCCAGCTGTAGGGCTTTGGGAAGCGCCCATGCACCATGCTGGTTAAGGACAGGGCTCCGTGGCCTCGAGGATGCTCCAGCTGTTGAGATCAGAGGCCTCTCCTCCCTGCCCCACGTGCTTCTAACACACACAACTCAGCCATACACGTTTTAGGAAGTGTAGACCCAGTTTAGTTCTTAGACTAAGAGAGAGAGTGGTCCAAGAACAGATTTTTGGGAAGTACCTATGTTTAAGAGGTAGAACAAGGAAGAAGAGCCAGGAGAATTGTATTGACAGATTTTGACCTTTTCCTCATGCCTAGAGAAGACCGCCAGCTCAGGGCATGGAGCTTGGTGCCTGTGCTCACGTGCGGGGGTCGCGGGGGATTGTGGCTGCTGATGAGGTACATGACTGTCCTCTCGGGTGCAGTGACCACCCTGTGCCCGCGGTCCCCCACGCTGCTGCGGTCTGCAGGACGAGGCTTTCTTTGCTGTTAGGCTAGTAGTACGGTTGGGAAGCTGAAAGACCGCAAACCTGGAAAGACTGCTAGGGACACAAAAGCAGGGGGAAAAAGTCGATTTTCTATTTCTTACATGTGAAAAATTTTGAATATTTGAAAGCGTGACTAAAGAATAAAGAGTCCAGTTTTACAAACAAGAGCGTGGGAGAGGCCTAACCCATTAGGGAACAAGGAGTGTTGTGGGTATGGTGTCTCATCGGCCACGCTGGGCTCGAGCCAGTTAGGGTTCAACCTTTCCTCTGGAATGTAAATCCTTTGTCAGTCACACTGTGGTTCAGGAAAAATGTTTCTGGGGGGTAATATTTACATTTTTAAAACTACGTAGTTCAACAGAAGTATGCTCCCCACTCTGCACGGCCTCTTAAAATGTGGTCACGGTACCACTCACATGTCCACACGTCATGTCCTCACATTACTGCGTCATCGGACTCCACCTTGGTGGAGAGCAGCGTGCGCTTCCACACTCCGCACACCCGCGGTAACGCGTGGTCTCACTCTTACAGCCAGGCTCGCAGTTGACAGAGCTCATTCTTACGTGTGCAGTCCTGTGTCTTCTCCAGCCCGCTTCCCAAAGTGTCTCGTAGGCGCAATGTGACGCGCCCTGCACTGCACTGCTCACCAGCATGTTGGAGTGTGGTTTTGGGTTCGTCATATTGCAGAGGGTGACTTGACCTTGAGATCCAGCAAGTGCCAGACTGCTGTTGGGGCCCCTCTCCCAGGTCACGGCTGGCCACACGGCTGCACGTCTGCGTTCTGGGGCTGGGGGCTCACTCACCTTCCCAAGCACGCACCCGGCCAGTTGGGTCTGCCACCGAGGCCACTGGGGGGTTTTGGCAATGGCTTTTGTACATGGAAGCCTTTCGTTTTATCCTTATGAAAATACAAATTATGTACGTCTGTGTATTTCTCCTTTTGTTCTTTATAGCTGCAGATTTGTTCACAGACTTGGAGACTGCATTTCGGGGGAAAATTGACGCGGCTTACTTTGAGACCAGCAAGTACCTGCTGGACGTGCTGAACAAGAAGTACAGCTTGCTGGACCACATGCAGGCCGTCAGGCGGTACCTGCTGCTCGGCCAGGGCGACTTCATTCGGCATCTGATGGATTTGCTCAAGTAAGGGAGCCTTCGGGGCCCATGGGCACACAGTCTTAAAGGAAGACTTGCTGAATTCTTGTAGAACACATTGGTAGGATGAAATTTGAGGAGACGAAGTTGTCCCTTTGTTTGTGCTCATTCTGTGCCTCGTTCCCAGAGGAGCCTGTGTGCCTGGGGAATGCCGTGGCACGACGGTCCAGGGTCCGAGGGGCGTGCAGGGGGATCACACTTAGCTCCAAAAAACCTATTGTTTCAGACTGAACTGTCCCCCATAGTTTTAGTTTAAGTTGTTTCGTGGGGAAAAAACTCCCATAAAACAAATATTATCACTCTTTTTGTTTTGTTCTGGGACATTTCTCATGGCATCTTCTCTTCTAGAACTAGCTGTGTGTCTTTCCCCTTCCCTCCCCTCTGTCCCAGAGCCTGTCCTGCTCCATCTAGACAGACAGACCCTCGGGATGCGGCCCGGGCTCCCAGCTGGCGCTGGCGAGCGAGCGCACCGAGTGTGGGTGGTTTTCGCTCAGGCGTGGAAGAATGGAGATCGGGGTTGTTCGATATTCCCTTTAGAACACTTAAAAGAGTGCGTTGCCTTCCAGTCTTGGCTGTGCAATCATGCGGTGGTTTTAGTGGCCCGGCGCTCAGAATTCCTGAGGGAGCTGGTTGAGGCGGATCGCTGGACCCACCCGTGGAGTGGCTCTGTCTCTCTGGGGGGAGCCAGCGATGTGCGTTTCTCCTGAGGCCCCCACTTCAGACATGGGCCCCTGCGTCCCTCTTCTACCCAGAAGTCCCATCTTCAGTGTGGAAAGTAGCTAGTTCGGGGCGCACACCGCGATGACTGACCTACACACTCGCGCTCATGGGTAACTGTGCGGTCAGCTTGAGCAGGGGTTGGTGATCTGCTTCGCTCCTGCACCCCGAGTAGAGAAGGGGCCTCTGGTGGGCTCAGTCCTGATCGCAAGGTCAGTGCCTGCTGGCAGTGTGGGTGGGGATGAGTGTGTGAAGGGGAGGTGGCGTCGGCCTAAATGGGGGTTCACGTGAGCGTGTGGAATGAGTGGTGCTGGGGTGCAGGTGGAGGTTGGCCAGGCGGTTCTTTCAGTTCAAGGAAAAATGCAGAGGTCCGTGGTCACATGGATCTGATCACTCAGCTGACCTAACATACTTGTCTTACGCTAGGTTTTTCTATTTAGAGCATCTCATAAGGCATGTTTCAGGTCTATGGTTCTAAGAGGGGGGAATGCCACCGATCTCTAGCCTCAGATGTGTGAGTGACGGTGCTGCAGTCCTTCATTTCTCTCTGCCCTGTGTTTTGCTGCCGCGAGGGCTTGTAGCTGCGGAGCTCCAGTGCGCACCTGGGAATGATTGGCAGGGGTTTCCCGTCTTAGTGACAAATAGTTGAATACGTCACTGTGTAAATGTGAGGTGTACGGCGTGATGGCTTGATTTCCATCTGTTCTGTGGTGGAGACCACGGTCGGCTCAGCTGACATCCCTTCTTCTCATATAGACACACAAAATGAAAAGAAAAATAGGAAACAAGGTTTTCTCCTTGCGATGAGAACTCCTAGGATTTGCTCTCTTACCAGCTGCCCTGTGTGTCACACGGGTTGTTGGCCACGTGGTACACTCCGTCCCTTACAACAGGAAGTGTATACCAGCTGGCCCCTCCCAACACACACACAACGGCCGTGCTCTTAACTTGGCCGGCTCTCAGCCATTGGAACGTTAGCTTCTCATTGAGAAACCCTGACATTAGCAACCCTGAAGAAGTGTTTGCTGATGATGCAGTCATTTTTAGCTGTTAGAATCATGACGTCCGTGTATCCGGCTGTTCTGATGTAATGAGGACCTCTCTTCCCATCGGACCTGTGCAGGAGATCCCAGTAGTTCATGTCACTGTAGCCCAGACTTAAGTTGAAAACTTTATTTTTAACATGTGTGGCACATGTAAGTATTTTCAAGTTAAGTGGAATCAAAATTAACTTTTTTGAAGATTGAAAGAACTGTTTTACTTGCCAAAATACTTGGTGAAATCCTATTGTCAGTTAATTTCGTAAAACTTTTTTTTTAAAAGATTTTATTTATTTATTAGAGAGAGAGGGAGCATGAGCCACGGGGAGGGGCAGATGGAGACGCAGACTCCCTGCTGATCAGAGAGCCCGATGGCGGGACTCGATCCCAGGACCCTGAGATCATGACCTGAGCCGAAGGCAGACGCCTCACCAACTGAACCATCCAGGCGTCCCTAATTCTGTGAAACTTTTATTCCCATATTGTAGTGGTTTCTTTTGTCTTTTTAGTTTTTATAATTTGAACCCTTTTTATGATTTTGAGTTTTACAAAGCTCATTAGGGATTCAAGTAACGTTTTCTTTAATTTTTAAAAAATCTGTTAAGACCAGAACTTGTCCGTCCAGCTACGACTTTGTATCAGCACAACCTGACTGGAATCCTTGAAACTGCTGTCAGAGCCACCAACGCCCAGTTTGACAGCCCCGAGATCCTCAAGAGGCTGGACGTGAGGCTACTGGAGGTACCGTGGCCCTGCTCCTGCGTGGCAGTGAGCTTGCTCGAGTGCACGTAGTCTAGCCTGGCGGGAGGGGGGTTGTTGCCTGCGCGGCCCGATCGTCGATGAGCGCGCTGGGCGGGACCCTGGGCACAGAACCTGAGCACTCGCCACAGCGCCTGGCAGCGCGCTGTGGAGTAAATCTTCCTCCTGTTACTGGTAATGTGGTAGGAGCCGCAGGGATGATATATAATGATAATGCTTATCAAAATAATAACATTTGTTGAAAATCGATGTGTTTCAGTTTGCTAGAAGATGGATTTTCTTTCGGGAATGAGCATCAGAAACACTGTACACTGTTTGCTTAGCTATGATGAAGGACCGTTGGGTTTTAAAATGTTGAGTTTTAAAGGATTTGGGACATAGAAGACTGAGTTTCTGTTGTAAAAATATAGTGACTAATTTTAAACGGATTTTTTGGTACTCATTCCAAGTCTGCAGAGCGCCTCCTCGGTGGCTGTGGTTCCAATGCCGAAGGTACGGGAGTTGACAAAAAGATGCAGTTCTCGTGTAGCTGACACTCAGAACTACTGAGCCTTTCTCTGGGGACTGGGCAGGTCCTTTGGCAGTAAGCGGGGTACTGGCCGGAAAGCCTGCAGTGCTTGTGTTTGTCCCCAGGTCTCTCCAGGTGACACCGGGTGGGACGTGTTCAGCCTGGACTACCACGTCGATGGGCCGATCGCAACGGTAAGGCCATGCTGGGTGATGGGACGCTGGCTGCAGCTCCTCACGTTGCTAGCTGTTGTGTTGTTTTAGGACTGGCCATCTTCTCCAGGAGCTTCTAGAGAAAGCCATCACTTGGCATCTAGGATAGACCCACCGAATGAATACTGAAGCCAGAATCGTGTGTGTATTTTAGATGATCATTAATGAGTGCTGAAATGATCTATAATTTTAAGAATTCTTAAAAATACCCTTTGTTCCATCATAGGTTTCAGCAAGTACTTAATAAATGAATTGCTGATTGTGCTCTGTTGTTCTTAGACCATAGCAAGTAATTTGGGGTGGTTTGAAAGGAACCACAAAGTGTATTTCAGGAGAGTCACATTTTTGCTACTTCGATCAAATGTGATATTTAGCGTCATTTAAACTGTCGGGGAATTGCTGTACTGTTGTATGGAGTGCGTTTGCTGCGCTTAACGAACGTGCTGCTTCTTCCGAGCCGTCCCCACACGGGAGGGAGACTGACCATCGGCGTGTGTCTGCACTTAGCCTGCCCCTTCCCTCAGCGCTCACGCTTTTATTCAGACAGGAGCGAAGCCTCCTTCACCAGGAAGCTTCTTTGGACTTACTCCAGTCGTTCTATATCCGAAATATTGAAGGAGGACGTGCATTTCTTTTAATTACTGGGGAAAATACTCCGTTAAGGAGTGATATAATTCCTCCGGGACGAGTACCACCCCCGCCCGGGTGCTTTCATGGGGCTGCCCTCCCGCTGCGCCCCCTGCAGGCTAATGGCAGCTCCTGGTGCACCTGCTTTTACACGCACGTCCTCACTGTTTAAACCTGACCAGGTCAAAGCCACCGTAGTGTAAATGCATAACTGCTCTTAAATTTAGTTTTTGTCATATCCAAATTAGTTTTTTCGCCTTTGATTTCTATCCTAAGTGGTTTTAAGTTCTTATTCCTTAAAATACTCTGTTCTCAGGCGCCTGGCTGGCTCAGTTGGTTAAGCATCCAACTCTTGATTTCGGCTCAGGTCATGATCTCAGAGTCCTGAGTTCGAGCCCTGTGCTGGGCTCCATGCTAGGCACGGAGCCTACTTTTAAAAAAAAAAAAATTCTCTACATGATTATTTAAATCAGGAACCTTCACATTATCTACTCTGTTACTGTTGAGTACACTGCATACTATTTTTTCATAGTGTAAAATATACCGTAGTAAAGGCAATCGTATCTTGTTATTTTGAAGTGTAAGTGCCTTGAGTATTAGGTAGATTGAACACGGTCCATACACATAGTTACTGAATTATCTCACGGTGCTGCAGACCTTACTGGGCGTACACAGTAATGCGTGGCACATCTTGTGTGTGAACATTTGGTTATGCAGTGTATTTTTCAAATTTTAGATTTTTGAAAGCTCTAGTCAAACAGTCAAGAACTTTATATCACAGATTTAAAGAACAGATTTAGGATTGATCCCTAGCTGTGGCTAGCAAGCGTTGACTTCCATGCCAGCCCCAGCAGGTGGAGGGCACCCCTGGGGGGGCCCTCTGGGAGGGGGAGCAGGGCCTTGGAACGCATCAGCAGGACGTGCTGGGGACATTGTGCGGGACGTGATGTCTTGCACATCTGGCCTTTGCTGTTCAGTCCTAGGGTTAGCCTATGTCCCGGCTTGTTATATTTTCAGCTACATGGGATATTTTATTGAAAGATCTACTTTGAGAGTCAAGTTTTGGAAGAAAATGGATTTTCTGCCTTTTCCCCGGTTTAATTTACTGTATTATCTCTATTCCCTTTATGTTCTCATTGAGATTGTCATTTTTGTAGAGAATTTAATTATAATGAGAACATATATTAGTCACATAATTTTATCTTCTATAACATAGTATAATTTTAGTTTCTTACTAATTCTGTGAAGAAGGACATGGAGAGGGCGCCTGGGTGGCTCAGTTGGTTAAGCGACTGCCTTCGGCTCAGGTCATGATCCTGGAGTCCCTGGATCGAGTCCCGCATCGGGCTCCCTGCTCAGCGGGGAGTCTGCTTCTCCCTCTGACCTTCCCCCCTCTCATGTGCTTGCTCTCTCTCATTCTCTCTCTCTCTCAAATAAGTAAATAAAATCTTTAAAAAAAAAAAGAAGGACATGGAGAGATTATCTCTAATCTTCTCACTTGGGTACTGGGTAGGATAAAATCCATGGGTTTCTGTCCTTGATCTTCAGGGTATTAGATGAGGTGTCAGGAGCTTATTTGATATTTTTCTGAACTTTATTCCACACAGGCAGTGAACTGAAAGACCAAATATGTGGCAAAACTAAATGTGAAGGGTGTTTTCCCCTGTATAAATGCAGTGGGGTAGGAGTGTTTTCTCTGAAACAGTTACTGTTTTTAAAGAATTGGATTAAACTGGATGTTTGTAAATTTGGGGCACATTAAATGTGCTCTGGAAGCCTGGCACTGAAGGATCCCTTGAGATGGCATTTGTGTAGCAGATTTCTTTAATTCACTTGTAAGTGGTTTCATCGTATCACCTTTATTTCTGTGATTGCATAAACAATAGTGTGGGCAGCACAGCGAAATAGATAATCCCCGAAACATTCATAGTTGATTCCAGAGTCCATTCAAAGCAGTTCCTAGCCACTCCCATTTAGACATGCCATCGTGAGTTAGTAATTGGCACCTGCCAAATACTGGCACAGGAAGGCCTGCAGGAGACTAGACAGGTAGTCCTTCTAACACATGAGCAGTGCTGAGAATATACAAAAGAAGAAGACAGGGTATAGCAGTATACTGCGAAGTGCTCAAATTGCAAGGGTCCAGTGATAAATGTCCTGTCTGCAGAAGGGGCTGGGGAAAGGCGTGTGGCCTTTGTCCTTGAGGGCCAGGCGGGGTCTGGGCCGGAGGAGAGTGTGGGCTAGCTAGGGCATAAGGGGTGCAAGGGGGTGATGTGAGGGAAGGCCCCAGGGTGAAGGGCCATGCTCCTGGAGGCCCAGAGCTGCTGGGCGGGCTGTTTCCAGTTGTTTGTGCTGCAGGGGGAGCGCTGGGCACACGGGAGACGCATCCCTTGCTCAGGGCATCTAGGAAAGGGCAAACGTGTGCCCACATCTGTTCTGCACACACACAGGAGTGTCACAAACATGTTTGCATGGGACGGACGGACACTGGAAGATTCTCTGTGGTTCACCTGACGTGCGTATTTCACTGGCCCCCATAGGAGAGAGGTGGCCGTGGAAGGAAGGCCTCGTCCCACCCCTGCCCACAGGGCTCATCCTCCCGGGACGGGACACTGCTGGCCATTTGCAGTGAAATGGCCTCAAGAGCAAAACACACATATGTGAAAACAACCCGGAGACCTCTTTACAGGCTGGAGATCCTTCCAGGCCCACCGTCCATGAGATTCACCACCCTCACATCTCCCTTGGCGAGGGGGGGGGGGGGGTAGAAAAAACTGCCACATAGCTGGAGCTGGAGTTAAGAGTCCACATGGTCGGCTAAGGTTTAGGCTAGGTTTAAAAGTCCCAACACACCGCCTACTAGTGTGTAACCTTAGGCCTCTGTTTCTCAGTCTATGAAAGTGGTATAAAAAGATCTACCTTTTATTACTGTGAGTTTGCTTGATATGCGGCTTAACACATCATTAATCACTGTAGTTGAATATAATGATACTTTCCTAAAATGTATTAGTTCCTTAATACCACTTAGAATTTATTAGAGTTGATTGTGTGTTCTTAGGCTTTTTTTTGCTTAAAAAAAAAAAAAATGAAGAAAGGTCAAGGTCTGTCCTGGTAAGATCCTTCCATCACAGAGTACTGCCAACCTGTCTGGTGCTGTTCTTTTCAGGTGTTTACTCGAGAGTGTATGAGCCACTACCTGAGAGTATTTAACTTCCTTTGGAGGGCTAAGCGGATGGAATACATCCTTACCGACATTCGAAAGGGACATATGTGCAATGCGAAGCTCCTGAGGAATATGCCAGGTAAACTCACCACCGGGTGGTCACGGGGCCTGCGTCGCAGCCTGACCTGTGCTTGCTAGCAACTTAGCCAACAAGGACACATATTAAAGTCACCAACCTGAGAAGTGATGCATTTTTGTGCTTTTGGATTTGGTTTTTGTGAAAAGGCTCATGTGTAATATTGCTAATCTTGATTTCTGTGCAAATCCGGAAGAAAATTCAGTCAAGTTAGATTATTTTAGATCATGAGGTTTCTTTCAGAGTTATATTCGTTTGCACTCTAGTGTTCACATATGGATTTTATTTTTTTAATTAATTTTTAAGGAAAGAAAGCTGTTTAATAAATCACTGGTTCATTTAAAATTCACTTAGTGTTTTGATTAAAGTCTGTTTGGGAATTGCTTTAATGTTTGTTTTGGTGTGTAAACCAGGACATGGAAACATTTTGTAATATTATTTTACAATTACAAGCTGTAATAAAAATTCTCATGTCAGATAGCCGGGTTTATTTTAATGTTTTAAATATTGAATAATTTCAATTATGAATAATTTTGAAATCTTCATATTGAAATTCATTTGTTCAAGACCTTTGAGAAAGTATTTCAACAATGTGTCTTTCAAGAGAAACAGCACTGATAGATTCTTAATACTTTGATGAAAGTGATTATTGAAAAAGGAGCCATTGAGGGGCACCTGGGTGGCTCAGATGGTTAAGCATGTGCCTTCGGCTCGGGTCATGATGCCAGGGTCCTGGGGTCGAGCCCCATGTTGGGCTCCCTGCTCGGTGGGGAGTCGGCTTCTCCCTTTCCCTCTGCCTCTCCCCTCTTTGTGGTCTCTCTCTCTCTCTCTCTCTAATGAATAAATAAAAAATCTTTAAAAAAAAAAAAAAAAAAGGAGCCATTGTTTGAAGAGAGGCAGGCGTGATCTCTCCACGTTTATTAGGTCAAGGCTGATCCTTAAGCAGCTCCCAGAGTTCCAGAATAATGACAACCCAGAGGAGGGGGTCGGTGTCTTGACAGACAGGATGGGCAGTTTGTATTGGGCATCCCATGCTTTCTGTATTCACAGCTCTTCTTTTCCTGGGGATCAGGATGCCCTAATTCTCCTGGCCTCGCTTCCTCTGGACTCACTTTGTAGAAAATTAATAATAAGGACCCTCTGACATAGCTGAAAAGTGAGAGCGAACACTTTCTTTTAACTACCATGATGGACATGGACAGGAAATACTGCCTTTGAGTATCTCTAGTACATGTGGGCCGCCTGGTAGAGGGGCTGCTTTGTGAAGGAAGGCAGGAGGCATCCGTCCCTCAGAGGGCCTCATGGTCTGCTGGCTCTGCACCCTTCTCCATAGTGTGTCTCAGGGTGACTCATGCCGTCTGCTGGGTGCGCGCTGTCGAGCTGTCCTGATTGCTGGCCTTGTGCCCTTCCCGGGGCGCGTCCAGCACCATGGCCTGAGTGGTGCTGCGTCCCCCTTCCTGCCCGATTCGGACCGGCTCCAGGTAGTGCAGATACTCCGTGCGTCAGGGATGGTCTGGGGAGTCTGGGCTTGGTAGCAGGTCCAGCTGTTTAGCTGGTTGTGACACATTTCTGATTGCAGTATCCCCTCACCAGGGTCTGCATGAACTTGCTCTTCTCTTGCACTGAGTAGTCAGCAAGCTCTGTTTTCCCCTCGAAGGTCACAGACATCTGGTCAGTCTTCTGTGCGTGGAAGAAGTAGGCTTTTTCCTGTGTGACGTTAATCACGCAAACATAACTAGGTGCCGTTACGGAGAGCTCTGTGTTAGCTTCTTCCACTGACCCTTTCCCTGTCGCTGAAACTTCTAAAATATTTATGATAGCAGAATATTGCCTCATGCATATATATTTGTACTATTTTGTCCTTTCTCTTTGGTTGCATATGTATTCTTTTTTCCCCATGAATATGACTAATGCCATAAGCTTTTTTAAGTATATATCTATTTGCGTCTGAATATTTCTTTAGATGGGTTAGGGATGGAACAGCTGTTGCTGATATTTCAGCTCTGGGTGCCGATGACTTTGGGAATGAGGAGCCGGTTCAGGGCGCGGCCGCACGAACGCAGCCCTCTGCCGGGAGGCGGGCTCTGTTGCTCTTGGTCAGCGAAAGTTGGGTACTGCCTTCAAACAGATTGTCCATTTGTTTTAATTTTTAATGCTTTTTAAATGTTTAGTATAAACACTTTCTTTTGTCATTTGTGTTTCTCTTTTCAGGAAACTTTTTTTGCTCATGTTTCTTTTGGGGTGTAATGTTTTTATTTTCAGTTATAAGGAATATTTTAAAGTTGTTAGTGTTCAGGCAACTTAATGAGCAGAAATCAACCAGCTACTTCGTTAGCTCTTGTTAATACAGCAAATTTAGAAACATCCTGCCAACCATAAATCTGAGGCAAAAACACGAAGATTATATAAAGTGCTCCTGTAAATCACCTTCGGGGTTTTTCACTCATGTACACTGTGGATAGCTGGCTTGGTCCATGCGTACAGTGTTGTTAATTATTACCCCAAATATCATTGCAATAATATCTATTGAAATAATTTTTTTTTGGAATAAATAGTTACACTTGAAAATTATTTGCTTAGTACAGGAGTCTTTGATAGTGGTCTACTAGGATGTTGATGCCTGTTTTTAAATATTTGTCTTTCAGCCAGACAAAAAAACAATTGTTCTTACAAAAATCGTTTTAAGATTTGGGTTCTAGTGGTATGGAGTTTTTTTGTTGTTGTTGTTGTTGGATTCAATTAATGTAAAGTATTAGAATTAGTGGCAACTAAATCTGTATTTCATATAACAGCTAACAAAATGAAATAAATATAGTTAAATGAGCTTGTATTCTTTCTCAACCTTTGTGTACTGGAGGGGAGAGAGGGAATGGAGGCCCCTCTCCCCAGAAGAGTGGTATTAAAATGATCTCCTTTTTGGTCCTTAGTAGGGAATAAAAGTGAGTGTGGTGGAGGTGGGAGAGGCGGTCAGGCCCTTGTAGGAGACCCACCGCCACAGGGCCGCTGCCGCATTTTGCCCGTGTGACTGGCAGCTGTTTTTCTTTCTTATGATAATAATGTTTATCTTATGAAAGAGTGTTCTAGACTGCAGAAACAGTAACTTAAAAAATGAGTAGACGTCTTTCTCTTTAAAGTTATCTCTTTGTGTATATCATCTTTGTGTGTATGGATGAGTCGGCGCTGCTCGGTAATTAGACCTTTACAAGGAGTTCCCAGTGCCGGACTGTTAAGCTGTGTGGTTAGTGGTCAGCTGAGCGGCACTGCCCGGGTGAGTCTGCAGTCCTCCAGCCACCGCGCTGTGGCCACGAGCCCGCTTCCTTGTCTTCTGCCTCAGTTCCCTCATCTGGGGGCGGGGCTGTGACCACAGCCCTTACTTCCTGGGGTCATGGGGCCCCAGTCTGTGTAGTGCACTTACCCATGCGGCCTGGGGCTGGGGGGGCACCTTTGCAGGCACCACTCCTAGCTGCCGGGCCATACGTTGGGCAGCGGATGGCGTTTGCAGGAGGACCTTCGTGGTGGTTAGAGATTCCACAGACAGGAGGTTTGAAACAGTCTGAGTCTCACAACTTTGGACCCTTGGCCTTGAGAAATAAATCAGATGGGTGATTTGATCAAGTCGCTTTTAAGTATAGTAGCCTCAGCTATAAATACAGGTTGAAGGAGGTGATTTGCAATTGGGAAGAAACTGTTTTAGGGTTTTTTTTTAAGAAACTTCTTACAATTTTTAATAGTCCTCCATGCTGTTGAAGGTGCATCTCCAGATGAGCAGGTCCTTCCCGCTGGAGATGCCTGCGACGCGCAGTCAAGTCCTCGCAGGGCCTGCCGTCAGTTTCCGTCAGGTTTGACGTTCTCCCAGCACCCTGGAGAGGGCAGCACAGAATTACAGACGGACCTCATGCTTGGCTCCTGAACAAGCTGACGAAGGAGCGGTCATTCTTGATTTTGTGTGTGAAACTGTCTGCTGTGAAGGTAGCCCGGCAGGAGATGTATTGTGTTTGTGTATTTATTGGACCCCAGTGCAGGTGTTGCTTTGCTTCTGGGATTCTTTCTTTGTAGGTCAACCATAAAAACACAAGCACAGGGCGCCTGGGTGGCTCAGATGGTTAAGCGTCTGCCTTCGGCTCAGGTCATGATCCCAGGGTCCTGGGATCAAGTCCCACATCGGGCTCCCTGCTCCTTGGGAGCCTGTTTCTCCCTCTGCTTCTCTCTCTCTCTGTCTCTGTCTCTTGTGAATAAATAAATAAAATCTTTAAAAAACAAAAACAAAAACAAAAAAACAAAAAAACACAAGCACATCCATGTTAAGTATGTTGTGATGTATTTTCAAGGTGCTGGGTAAAGAGATTCAAGGGGTGTTTCGGGTGTAAGTTAGATTTTTTAGGAATTAAAGGACCAGATTATCCCTTATGAATTCAGTCTGCTTATGAATTGGGTTCCTAGTCATTTGTTCGAGCGTGACCAGGCAGTGAGAAGTTCTGAGTCCAGCGTCTAGCATGGGAATTCTCGTGTGGGGAAGAGTTGCAGCATTATAGCGATTTCAGACTTCCATCATATGGGTCATCAGGTTCCTTTTCTTTTTTTTTTTTTATTTTTTATTGTTAAGTTAATCCCCATACATTACATCATTAGTTTTAGATGAAGTGTTCCATGATTCATTGTTCGTGTATAACACCCAGTGCTCCATGCAGAACGTGCCCTCAATACCCATCACCAGGCTAACCTATCCTCCCACCCCCCTCCCCTCTAAACCCTCAGTTTGTTTCTTAGAGTCCATCGTCTCTCATGGTTTGTCTCCCCAATCAGGTTCCTTTTCAATGGGAAGTGGTCACAGGTCCCTTTACTCAGAGGCTTCATTTCGGAAGAATGTCATTGAAGATGCTGTTCTTTATACTCACTTATATAAGAAAAGAGGATTTTTCTAGAAGGAAAATAAAGTATTTGGGAGTACCTTAGACTATTAAAGGGAAGAACACTTATTTTAACACTATTGCTAATTTGCCTTGGTCAGGGAAGGCTTTTGAAAACGATGTGAATTTAAATAGTCAAGACATAGAGGAGGACACACCATCCGCTTTAATCTTGAGGACTGAAATCCCTCATCCAGTGAGGAGTTGTTGAGGGCCTACTTTGTGCTGCCTGTTCTTGGTATCCGGTGACAGGCATGACAAACAGGGTCCCAGTGGGGCCTATTAGGGCAGGATGGACATTTAAACAAGAACTTAGAATGCACGACGATGAGTTGTTTGATGTGGACGAGACCAGGTGCTCTAGGAACATAGAAAGGAGACACCTGGCAGACGTGGGTAGCTTACTGGGCTCCACAGTGGTGCCCAAGGCTGCACCTGGACGTGAGTGTGTCCGTGAAGGGAAGAGTGTGGGGGTGGGGAGGATGGGCCAAGGGCAGGCCTTCAGGGCCTCACAGGCTGGGTCTCGGGTCAGTCTGAATTCAGTGGCAGGGGGAGCCATGGGAGGGTCTGTACCAGGGAGTAGGGCATGCTCGGAATTGTTTGGTTCTGAAAGTCACTCTGACATCACTGAAGAAAGTGGGTCTCAGAGGCAAGGCTGGAGGTTGGCAGAGGCGTCGGTTGTGATCCTGTGGGAGGGTGGCCGTGGTGGACATAGTATCCTGGGGTTGGGGAGAGTGCATGGACTTGAGGGAGCTCTGGGGGCCGGGGCTGGGTGATTGGGCTCTGTTTTGAGCTGGGGATGGGGGGGGGCATTCACCACGCCCAGAGCGCTGGGGGAGGAGCACTTTGGGGGTAATGCTTCCGTTTCAGATACATTAATTTGAGATGTTTTTAAGAATATATGGGACGCATCTGTTGGGTTGGTCAGAAGCCCAAGGCAGATCAGACCTAGAGATTAAAGGTGTAGACGCAGTTCATGTAGATGATCCTGGACGCCATGGAATCGATGAGATTGCCTCACAATGGGGTGAAAAGAGAAAAGGTCTTGCAGCAAGGAGCAGCAGAACAGGCCCTCCTAATGGAGACGAGGAGAAACAACCAGAAAGGTGGGCAGTGGACCCGGAGAGGGTGGTCTCTCTGAAGCCACGGGAGGAACGCTCCAATATGGCAACGGTGCAGGAAACCAGCTAAGGTGGAGACTGGGGACTGACCCCAGCCGCCCCTCGTCTTTGGCAACGGGCCAAGGCACATGTAACAGTCCGGGGGAGAGGATGCGAGCACGAGCAGAACGGGGGCCCAGAGTGGCCTGGAAGCTGCACAGCGGAGGAGAGCTTCCTGCCGAGGCCACGGCTCTTGGGGAGGGCGGAGGGGAGCTATGGTTGGAGGACCCCAGGTAGTGGTGGCTGGAAGCCGCTGTCTTGGAGTCAGACAGAGAAAGGAGAGGGCTTCTGGGCAGCATGGAGGACCAGCTGAGGCCAAATGCCGGGAATTTTAGGTTGGTACCAACAGGGGTCCAGGATGGTTTCTGTAGATGCTTCTGTTTTGTGTTCATTGAGCTGCATTTTCTTCTCCATATCTGGGTGACATGAGAGATTCTGGTAGATTAATGGCAGTGGAGAGATTGTGCTCTGAAATAAATCCAAGATAATAAAGTGGAGTCGGTGACTTAGTCACTATGTTATCAAACTGTGTGAGTACCGGGCAGAAGTTCCTGGTTTATGAAGGAGCTCAAAGATGAAATGTGAAAAATGTTAGCAAACTCGTATAATGTACAAGTAAAAACACATTGTCCAGGTAGTGCTGGATTGTCTGTCAATGGGACCTCAGTGGAAACACCCGAGAAGACCGCTGGACAGAGAGACCAGAGCAGGAACAGCGCGCATTTTCGTGGGATTGAGCTTTTCCCCTTGTGTGCAGAACACTGACTAGGAGCTAGATGCTGAGACGAGCCACACAGATTTCTGTGCTTCTGTGACACACGGGGCCCCAGAGACAGCACCGAGAGGAGCCTGCTTTACCATCCTCATGCGCGTCCGTCAGGATATGCCATGAGGTCTACAGTTTTGTCAGCGATGTTCGACTCTCTCTGGTAGAAAAATGGGAGGATGGAGAAGTGTCAACTGCGTAGATGCCTCACAAGGCTTTTGAAATAAACAGCTGACGGCGTTCGCCGTGAGTCCGAGCAAAGCAGCACATCTTAGGAAGCAGTCCGCGTGCACTGGAGGGGAGACTCGGAGACACGGGCTATTGCAGCGAGACCTGGTGTCCTCACGGGTGTGGTTTGTAAAGGGGCAGGATGGATGGCGCACACCTGCGCGCGTGCTGGAGGCTTTAAATACACGCAGTCTCTCCAGGTAAGACCGCCTGGCCTTCGGGGGAAGGGTAGCACGGTCCCTGTCATTCCAGCTCTGGGCTGAAGCCCAAACGGAGTTGTAAATGGCAGTCCTGACACCGTGATGTGGATGACTCCCACTTAGAGCAGCATTTTATGACTCTCTTTTATGCCGAAAGTAATCTAGGTAAATAGGCTTTGGGTATCCGGTGAGACACGTCAGCCCCCTTTGGTAGTTTTAGTAGGAAAAGTACATTCTTCATTTTGGGCTTACAGATGACATGGCAGCCCCTAACCTGTTCTTCCCGGGAGTATTTACGCCATCCAGGACTAGCGGGTTCCTGACGGTGGGGAAGGCGCCGGGGGTTTGGAGCGTGTGCTCATCCCCTGGGGTGGCCTGCTGCTCTGCGGGCCAGTGGTGTGTGCTGAGCCAGGCCAGCAAAGTCCCCACGGGGCACTTCGTCCGTTCTTAAAGTCTGTATCCCACTGTTCTGTCATGTGTTTCTGTTTCACTTCCTTATTACTCTTAGGAAGGGACAAGAATGATTTCTCAAAGAACTGCATGCAGCAACGATTGTTTACCTAAGGAGCTAATTAAAGGCATTTGGGGTGGCAACAAAAATACGTCCGGTCTGACCCACATTGAAATGCGCTTGTAAACATTTTCTGTGGTGACCCCATCTGCTTGAGCCCTCCTCTACCGTGGTGTCCCCTCGCACTCTGGTAGGGTCTTTGAACGAAAAATTAAAAGTATGAGCAGAGAATGCCTGCTCTGTGTGACCTCTAAGCCTTTTGGTGGTTTTATAATCTTGCAAAGAACAGGAGCAGAGTTGGGGCTCAGGCCCATCGCCCTCCTGGTTCCTGTTCCTCTCGGGTGACAAGATCCCTTTCGGGCCCTCAAGGAAATGTCACTTTTGTCTCCAGATCGCTGGGAGTCGTGAAGTCTTGCCCAGCAGCAGGCAGACGTGTTGTAAAGAAGCCGCAGAACTGAGTGAATATTCATACTTGTACAATGAAATGCGTCTATTTAAGTTTCAGATGCAATTGTTTTGTTTAATGCCGTTCCTTTTCAGGTCCTTACATTATATAAAGTAAAATAATGCTACGTGATGAGACAGCTGAGCCCTTGTGTAGCTCGAATGGCGTGGAACTTGATAATGGAAGGACTGTTTCCTGTTTGAAGGGGTTGACAGTGAAAGCTGGTGGTGGTTTTTGAGAGAGAGGTTGCAGACGTCTGGCGGGGGGTGTGGCTGTGTACGTGTGTCCCCACGGCGTCTTGACACCAGCTCCTCGGCTCTCTTGCAGAGTTCTCTGGGGTGCTGCACCAGTGTCACGTTCTGGCCTCTGAGATGGTCCACTTCATTCACCAGATGCAGTATTACATTACGTTTGAGGTACATTCAGAGCATCCTTTGACATTTCTTTAAATGGGTCCTGTCTTAGGCTTTTGTGTGGGGTATTTTGTCAAAGATGCAGGGAGACACGCCTTGTACCTGAGTGTCGCGTTGTTGTTTCCTAGGTGCTTGAATGCTCTTGGGATGAACTTTGGAACAAGGTGCAGCAGGCCCAAGACTTGGACCACATCATTGCGGCCCACGAGGTCTTCCTGGACACCATCATCTCCCGCTGTCTGCTGGACACCGACTCCAGAGTAAGACCCATGTGCCGTTAGAAACAGAAACAATGAGAGTCTTCTCCTCTTGGGCTCCTGCCACATGGGGCATCTTAGAAATCGCCTGATGCCCACATTACTAGTAACTAGGACTGTTTTACTAATAATTTGAGGTGCTGGGTGGACCCTTTCTGAGTGGAATTAGAACAAGAACATGCTCTGAAATGGTTATGAAAGTGGCAAAGCATGTATTCGCACCCCTCCACTTCCTCGGTGTCATAGTGGTGGTGTCTCATGGGGCTCAGAAGACAGAGATGAGCCACCGCGCTGGTTTCGTGTTGGGCCCTGAGTAAACCAGGCAAATGGTGTGAGGACACAGCAAATGGCCGCCCGTCTGTGAGCTCAGGAGGATGGCGTGAGGACATGCAGAGCACTTCAGGCTGTCCCTACATGCTATTATCTAGGGACAATGGTCTTTTATGTGTTTGCCTTGGTTAAGTGAGTGTCTGGCTGCATGTGTTAGAAAATAGGCGGTTTGTCTAGAAAAACTGTAAGCGTTCCGCAGCCCCAGCTTGTCGCTAGTGTTGCTCCCATGTAGACACCTGAACGTTGCTGTTCCGTGTGGCCAAGCCTCGTGGAGTTCTGGTTTTATTTACACATCTGGGGAAGCAAGGAACACGTTGTTTTCAATTGAAACAAAGATATTGTGACGTAAGAGTCTTTAAAATTTCATGTGCATTTTTGACATTAAATGTGACTTCAAGTAAGTTTCTCGCTCACAAAGGGCTGCTTCTGCTTCTACCTGCACCCTCCTCAAGGGAAACGCGCTGCTTCACGGAGGGTGTTCGTTTAGCATATCTGGGTTTCCCAGTCGTGGCTGGGAAACACCTGTCTTGGTATGCCAAATTTTATTACTAAAACTGTCGCTCATAGGTGCAAAAAATTGCTCAAAGATGCTTCTATATAGAAAGCTTTTATAAATATATGGAAACAATGGCACAAAAGTAATTTTTAAAATAGTTTGGATATAATTAATCATTTAAGAAATGCGCACCTGCGGCCTTTTGGCCTTGGCCACGGTGAGTGAGCTTTGTCTGCGTCGGCTGAGCCCATAGCTGTGGTCTCTGTGAGCCGTCCGTCTGTCGGCACACGGGTCCCCCGGGAGCAGTAGATGAGCCTCCTGCGCTGTTGGAGGCACTCACGTAGTAACAAGTGGGACGCTGTTCCCTGGGGCTCTGTGGGCACTGCGCTGTCTCGTGTTAAGAGGGTGTGACACTCGTCTCCTGTAGGTCTGCGAGAGGTGAATGGTGTAATTCACGGAAACCGTTTATCACGGTGCCTGACGCGTAAATGTTCGCTAGCTCTGTTTTTAAATGGTTCAGAGCCACGGTGTGCGTCTTACAGAGATTGAGCGTGGTTGGAGTCTGCTTTGCAGGAGACGGGAACTTGTTAGGATTAGGCCCACAGCGACGTCGGTCTCCATGTGGGGTGTAAGGAGCCGTCAGGGGCTGGCAACGTTGGGGTTCAGCCACGTCCATGAGTGACAGTTCTGTACAAAACAGTCACACCTCTTGCCTCTAGAAGGTTTCCACTGATAGGAACAGAATCCAAGGAGAAACATTTTTGCCTATAGGACCGTTTTCTCGTGGTCATGGAATGCTTACGTGCGGGTTGCCCGAGTCACTCCTTTGGTGGAGTCACAGTGGAGCTAAAGGCTTGGTAATCGTTTTTGAAGTAGCCCATTTGCTGATGGTTTTACTTTTATTTTATTATTTTTTTAAAAGAATTTTTTATTTTTTATTAGGGGCACAAGCAGGGGGAACAGCAGGCAGAGGGAGAAGCAGACTCCCCGCTGAGCAGGGAGCCCGACGTGGGGCTCGATCCCAGGACCCCAGGATCATGACCCGAGCCGAAGGCAGACACCCAACCGTCTGAGCCACCCAGGCGCCCTGGTCTTACTTTTAATTTGGTGGTTTAAAAGAATCACTAGAGGTTTTATTTTTTAAGGAACCCAGTATATAGAGCAGATTCGAACCGTCTGTTCTTGACAGAAGTGGAGTGCGTTTCGGTATCTCCCTTAGTAAGGAGACGAGGCCGTTGGCTGGGCGCATAGTTTTGAAGGGGGTTTGTGGCCGGGCGGCGGCAGCGCGCGCACGTGTGTGGTCCTCGTCTGGGCGCTGCTGCTGCCCTGCTGCCGCCCCGGACGCACGTCCCCGCTTCTCCTGCCCGAGCCGACTGCTGCCCGGCCCTTCCCGCCTTAGCTTGAAGCCAAAGCAGTCACCTCGTAGATGAATTAACTGCTCCAGAAATAGCAGTTCTTATTTGATTACAGTAAAGAAACAGATTGGAAGAAATGAATCTTTTTTAAAAACAAATTAGACTATCTCCATCTTTTGTTTTGCTTTTTTCTTATCAAGTAAGACCCTCCGAGAGAACAAGCAGCCCTGCAGTGAGCCCGGTGTTTGCCGTGAGTCCTGGGCCGCCTGACCCAGCTGCAGCGGCCACGAGTTAGTGAGATTGGTGCCTGTGTGTCGCCGACCCTTCGAAGGGACATGTTCGGGCAGGGTGGAGCGCGCCCCCCACACAGGGGTGTGGGGATGGCATTGCGTGTGTCCTCACTAGCCCCTGCGTCTTCCACCCTCAGTGAGCCGGGGTGCCCGTTCTCGCCAGCTCAGCTTCCTTGCCGCCTCCTGTCCGTGAGCTTGGAGACCCGCCTGTTTCTTTCTCTCTTCAGGCTCCTCAGTCAAGTCCTGTCATCTTTCTCCCATAACCTCTTGCCAGTCTTTTCTAGGTTGTTACTACCATAAACGTGGTGGTTGGCTGGTTTGGAGGAATGGTATTCATTTCATTACTTTGATTTTTTATCCATTTTTTTTTTTCATCCCAAGGGTTTCTAGATCTGCTTAGATCCTGTTTTTACAAGGAAAGCCAGTTTTGTTTCTTTCTTTCCAGAGGGTCTGTTTTCTGCTTTGCCTTGCCTTGGGGTGTTAGCTGGGTCCACCAGGAGCATGGGTAGGTCTCCTTATCTCATCCCCGGCATTAAAGGGATGTTTTATTCTTTCACCATTCACTTTGATGTTTGCCAAGAGATCTCATAGAATCTTTTATCAAATTAAGGAGGGTCCTTGTAGTCCTAGTTTGTTTAGATGCCTTGTAGAAGTCATGAGTGGCTGTTAAGTTTTAAGACATGACTTTTTTTCCTGTGATTTCGAAATTATCTTTTCTCCTCAAATTGTTAATGGGTTTTTTTTAAATCGAAGCTGGCAGAGCATAGAGTTGACCCTGCTCTTCAGTCGTGTGCCCTCAGCCGTCCGCGGAAGACCGTGCGTGTTGGTTGTGTCATATCCCCACCCCCGCCGGCGGCACAGTTGTCTTTGTGTTTGCTGTGCCCCCTTGTGTGTATATTTGGCGTTTTGCATGGATGTGTTTTTGATTTACATAAAAGATCTTTGCTACAGATCCCTTTCTCGTGCCCTCTCTCCACACCGCAGCACTAGGGAAGGGCAGTGTGTTTGCAGGGTTAAACCATCCTTGCATTCCTGCTCAATGCTGTTTTTTTAAACACTGTGCTGAATTTGTTTTTTTACTATATTAAGAATCTTCTTTCTCATATCCTCCATGTCTGGTCTTGGTGGGTATGGCACCAAAAAGTGAATCAAATGGGCCTGCTTTCCCGGCCCTTTCCGATGCTTGCTGACGGCTCCGTGATGTGGGGCCGCGCTGTGGCTCGTGAGGCCACTGTGAGGGGAGTTCAGAACACAGCAGTGGAGGCAAAGAGCACTTGAGAATATGAATTGATACCTTGTTTTATAGTCTCTTTTTGTCTCCTCCTCAGGCACTTTTAAATCAACTCAGAGCCGTGTTTGATCAAATCATTGAGCTTCAGAACACTCAAGACGCAATATACAGAGCCGCCCTGGAAGAGCTACAGAGACGACTACAGTTCGAAGAGAAGAAGAAACAGCACGAAGTTGAGGTATGGCTTTTCTGCCAGTGGGCTATCAGTTCTAATAATGAGCTTATTGCCAGCATCGTCACAAATACAAGTAATTTTCCTGCTGAAATGTTCTTGGAGACGGTGCTCACACCTGCATTTGGAATCCTAAGGAGGCGCTGACCTTTCCTCTCGGAGTGGTCACCCTCGCTGTCATCCTGTTGTGGGCATGAGGACAGCGTGCACTGGAATCCCGTGAGTAAGCCCGTGGGCGCTGGTGGCTCTGCAGACTGGTCCTAGCTCTGCATCACCTGGTCACCTCCAGCTGGTGGACACACATGGACACGGGGGAACCAGAGCTCTGAGCTTGGGGCTACTTTCATTGACCTTCCTAAACCCATGACCTTGGGTAGTGAAGATGTATTGAACAAGTTTGGCAGTTTATGGGATTTCTTGTATTTGACATCATCTCTGTAATTTTTACTTTTCCAAGGTGTTTATTCTTGGGATGCTGACAAATTATTTAAAGGATTTATTTATTTATGTATGTACGTATGTATGTATGTATGTATGTATGTATGTATGTATGTATGTATTTGGTGGGGCGGGGGGCGGGTATGAATCCCAAGCAGACTCCCTGCCAAGCGCAGAGCCCGACGTGGGGCTTGATCCCACCATCCTAAGATCGTGACTTGAGCTGAAATCAAGAGTCAGACGCTTAACCCACTGCGCCACCCAGCAAATTTTTTAGATAACACAGTTTGATTAGTTTTATTTTTACATGTTACCTTAAAACTTGTGTTAGGATCCTGTTCCGTTTGGAAAACTCACAACCGCTTAGAGTACCTGCTGTCTCCTCAGGGTTTTTTGGAAACAGGAGGAGGGCTTGCTCCATCTGTATTGCTGAGAGTGGGTGTGTGTGTGTCCAGCACACCCAGGTGCCAGGCCAGCCGAAGACGCCCCCTGACGGTGCTCACTGGCGTTGTGGGTGGTTTGACTTCTCTAAGATGTCCCCTCGTTGTACAGTGGGAGCGGTACTAAGACCCCATAGAGGGGCTCGCTGACGTGTGTAGGGCTTAGCTGTTATTTGGCATTTGGCAAGCGTACAGTAAAAGCTAGTCACTGCTGTGATTTTTAAAGCTGCCCACAGCCCGAGAATCCGCCCTTCTGGGGAATCACTAAACTACATAAAATCTACAAGAATCAGCCCTCCGGATTTTCACACTCTTCTAATAGCAGGGCGGCCAGTTGTGGGACTCACTGGCTCTCTCCGACTGTAAACTGTCAGCACCGGAGTGAGACAGGTCTGCATAATGAGTCTTGATCATTCAGTGTATTTCATTCCGATGCGCTCAGGGATCCCTTTGGGCAGCTGAAAGCTGGAACTGTATCTGAGAAATTACTTAAATTCTGTGGGCAAAATAACTGAAAAGCAATCACTGAGACCTGGGGTCCATTGCAGTTTTAAAGAGACCATTCGAGAGGACTCATCCCCGAGCTCCAGAGCCCTGCGTGCGCTGCGACAAGCCGGCGCCTTCTTCAGCCCCTGAGTGGACCCAGTCTTCCTGTCAGACGCGCTTCGTCCCCCCATGGTTCTCTGCCTCCTTTCTTCTTTCCCTTAGGTTTATAGTGGTATTTCCAATTCAAGTTTAGGATTAAAGGGACTTTGTTTTCTTTATCTTCTGCATTGGAAATCCTGGTTTCTAGTACTAGCAGACTGTGACTTGCTGACAGCCCCTCCCCCCCAGCGTACACAGATGTGCCCACAGCTGTCTCCACACGTGTGCCCCAGCAGGGCAGCGACGGTAGTTACTGAGTGGGATGCACACTAGTTGTGCACATCAGAATCCGGGTTGTAATGCACTTGGCATAATCACTCCCTTGAGGTTACGCCCCCAGCTCAGTATGCAAATTAATTGGTTTTGTTTTTTGCTTTTAACTTATAAAACAAAATTGAATGTACTCTTGTAAAATAGTTACCTGGTTCTAAAGTGAAATCTGTGGAACAAAGCATTTAGACAAGCCTGGCCTTTGTTGCCTCCTGCTCTGTGCTGGTCTGCGTCACGAAGCCCGAAGACCGTGTCACTGAGTTGGGATGTATCAGGGGGTAGGACATTACAAACAAGCTTTGGTTCATCCCTCAAGTACAAAGGTCGTGTATCGTTTGATGAAAATGTTGTAATTCACCACATTTACAAACTAAAGGAGGAGATTACATGATCATCTCAATAGATGGATAAGATCATTTGATGCTAATTGAATATCTGATAGAAGGTTTGCTTGAAAGGCCTGAGTCAAAACCGCATGCTTAACGGTGCAGTCCTGGGACTGAGACCCAGGGCAGTGAGCACTTCATTCAGTGTGGTGGTGGTGGTCCACCCGCCTTAGAAACCAAGACAAACAAATACAAGTGCAAACATGCAAGCAAGCTTTTTCTGGGGGAGTGGTGGGGGGGGGGGCACAAGTCACAGTTGTGGACGTAGAAAATCCAAAATAATTTTAGGTAAGTTAACTAGAATTAATAAGTGAATTTATCAAAGTAGTAGGAAATAAGGTCCATATGCAGAAATCACTTCTATTTCTATCAGCCACAAACAATTTGAAATTTTAAAATGCCTTTAAAAGAGCATTAAATGTAATAAAATCTGTGTAAGGCCCTTGTACAGAAAACTGTGAAACAGGGCTTGGCGACCGACGGTCTGCAGGCCTGGCCTCCCGCGTGTCTCTGTGGATGGGGCTTCGTTGGAGCAGCCGTGCCAGTGATTTCCGCGTTGTCTGTGGTGCTCGTGTGCTCTGTGGTAGAGCGGAGCGACAGCGTAGATCAGGTGGCTCCCAAACCCCGGAGGACGAGCTCTCTGGCCCCTAACCACAGCACCACAGAGATCGCAGAGGGCCCCTCGAAAAGTGGAGGCGTAGACTGTATTCATGGATTGGGGAGCTGATAGATTCAGTGCAATCCCAGTTTTAATCCCCAACAGTTTTGGGGTTTTTTGTGGGTTTAATTTTGGGGGGGATAGAAAATGATAAACTAATTCTAAAATTCATGTGGAAATACACAGGGCGTAGCTTGCAGTGAAGAGAATTTTGAACAAGAACAAGTTAGACAATAATTTATTTTTAGTTGAGTATACATATACCCTCAAGATCTACAAAATTACGGCAGTGAAAAGAATGGTGTTGGCTCAAACAAGGGCAGTCAGGGGAGCAGAGTAACGTCCAGAAACAGCCCTTCACATTCTGGGATCATTTGTTCTCGACTGAGAACAGTGGGGAGTGGAGCGTCGATAAATGGTGTTAGGCGGCTGTATCTCGACCCTGCCTCGAACACACGCAGCCACCACAGGGTGGGTATGAATCTGAAAGTGAAAGGTAAAATGCTAAAGCTTCCAGAAGGTGGCAGAACAGCTGTAAAAGAGATACAGGTTTTAGGATTGTGTCACGACGAGACAACTCTGTTGATAAAAAGGCAAGAACCCAATGCGAATTCCCGCATAGGCTGGCTGAAAAGGCGTGTAGTCAGACTCACCACTCCTTAAAAACCATCTTTTAAAAACAAAGTTGATATATCTCCGGTACAAAAAGATCTGCCGTGTGTGGGAGAAATAATAGCAAGAAGCATTCCCACCAAAGTCAAGGGTTAATGGGCTCCAGTACTTTGAACCATCTGGTTCGGCTTTTACGTAGAAGGTCTGTGCTAGAAATGTGTCCGCAATGATGGGAAGATACAAGGCGTTGTTTTTAGTAACAGAAGCCTGGTTAGCTCATGACAAACGATCGGAAGTGCTACACGCTATGCAGTGTAGTCGTTAAAAACAAGGAGGGGGTTCTCTGTGTGCTCACGTGTGCTGACGGAGGGCATTTTTGAGGTAGCTTACTAATTGGAGAAAGTAAGCGAGAGCACCGTTGTGCATCAGCAGAGTATCGTCGGAGTGTTTAGCAGCACGAGGGGCATGAAAAGCACACATCTCCCCGCCCTCCCCTCCAGCCCAGTCCCACCCTGGCAGCTTCTTGTGCCCAGATTTAATTTGATCTGGTCCTTCCGATTCTTCAGGGCCGGTGGGGAGTGACAGCGGCAGAGGAGGAGGACGAGAACAAGAGGATTCAAGAATTCCGAGAATCGATACCGAAAATGTGCTCGCAGCTGCGGATTTTGACACACTTCTACCAGGTGTGTGTTGGGGTGACACCGCGGTGACCGCATCACGCTGCTGGTTTTCTGCAGTTGACTGTTCCTGTCAGTGCGATTTAGAAAGGAGTCCTTTCAGCCTGCCCACCACCCACAGTGGGGCTCTGTGACCTTCCCCTGGACCCTGGGCTGACAGGGCCTGCTCTCCTGGGATGGTTGTGGTGGTGTCAGCCGGGGGTGGGAGCCCTGCGGGGACCGGGTGGAGCTGTGCAGCCTCAGTCCTGCGGGGGCCCGAGGTGAGGCAGGAGGGTGCGAAGGTGTGCGGGGAGCCGCTGTGGGGGACGCGGAGCACGCGAGGCGGCGGGTGCTTAATTTGGGGCCCACAGACCCGGGAGGCTGTGAGAAGAGCAGATGCACAGAGTCCGTGTGCTCTGGTTTTTATTTCTGTGTTGTGGGTTTGGTTTCTGATTCCATCTGTTTCTCAGTGTGATTTTAGTGATGGAAATATAGGTGAAAGAGTTTTATGAAGAATTTTTACATTCAGTTGCTGGTTAACTGATTAGAAAGACAAATAAGCATTGACGTTGAAACCTTGAAAAATTAATGTTTCTGTGTGCTTTTGTCTCCGTGTGGTTCAAAATTTAAAATGAAACTACCTCCCTGTTCCATAGGCATCTGGTTTCCTTCCCGGGGTCCTCGTACTTTCGACGGCTGTCTCAGCATAATGTGGACATGGGAGGACTTTGTCCCTTTCGCAGGTGGTCTTCCTCTGATATGAGCTACCCAGCACGTTTGTTAAAAATGCTTCCTAAATGGTGGCAAAGATGGAATTATGTTCAGTGCAAAGATATCCTCACCAGACAGGTGTTTCGATAATGAGATAGCTGCTAGACCCCGTGTTGTAAACCCTGTATGGGTACATTTCTTAAAAATGAGTCGTGACGGTTAGTTTCATACTCTTGGTGAAGTTAGTAGCGTACCGGCAGCGGAGTAAAAAAGTGTGTGCTCGTGCTCATTTCTGAAAGAGACAGGGATGGTTGCACATTTTCCTGAGAGACTTAATACATTTGTTTTAAAGATTTTATTTATTTATTTGAGAGAGAGAGAGACAGGGAGAGATCACGAGCAGGGGAGTGGCAGAGGGAGAAGCAGGCTCCCCGCAGAGCAGGGAGCCGGACGTGGGGCTCGATCCCAGGACCCCGGGATGATGAGCTGAGCCGGAGGCGGATGCTCAACCGACTGAGCCACCAGGCGCCCTGAGACTTAGTGCATTTTTGAAAAGTAATCTTAATCTGTATAATCCCAGTTTTTCTCAGATCACAGTCTTCATCTTCTTTCTAAATCATGGCCACTGGGATTTCTTTTCCTTGACAGAAAAAGTCCTTTTCTGTTCTTTTTGAACTACTGGTGCCTGGAGCAGCCGGGGGCTTAGCGGCTGCCGTCCCGAACTGCTCACGAGCGGTCTCTCTGGGAGCCGCAGCCTGAGGACAGAAGTGTTGCCCGCAGTTCTGCGTAGTGAGCGCGCCCAGCGCCACCTGACAAGAAACCACTGCCTGTACGCTTCGCGGTAGAGTTCCTTAGCGACCGTCTCGTAAGCCCTTGGGCTCCCTGAAGGACAAAGGGGTGTCCACAGCACCCCGGTCTGTGCTTGGTCAGGTGTCAGTTCCCTTGTGTAACACACCTGAGTCTCCGGGAGCTCGGAGAGGGACCGAGATGCTTTTCGGCTTTGGAAGGACTGATGGGATGTGGTGTTCCCGTGGCGGCTTCTCTGCAGATGGGACCTTTTCCAGGTCTGCAAGTGTGGAGACGAACATCGCCTACTTTGGGCAGCCACACACCTGCTGCCTGTGACTCAGGAACCCGGCAGGGATGGGGTGTGTGCTCAGAAGTGACTCCGCCCTGCAGAGAAGCAGCCAGTGCTTGTCGTATGAAAGTTGGAACAGACTGCTGTCATGTCCCCTCGTTCCACAAAGCCCCCTGAGAAGGAGGTGGCGTGGCCGCACTCTGCCTGGTCTTCAGCAAGGCGACTCAGCCCACGTCCGCAAGGACCCGGGGGCCCTGCGGTCATGGTCTAGAGGCGGGTGGTTTCTCACGTGCTCCTTTGTGTTCCTGGGAGGGCTCTGTGGTTCAGTACTCCTAACTCAAGTGAGAGATGGAACGTGGAACACTGGGTTTTATATTTAAAAGAAAAAGAATTGGCTTTTTTTTTTAACATCAGAAGCTTCGCTGTTTTGCTTATTCTTGTAGAACTTAGGGCAAAAAGGAAGTTCTTTTAAGTAAACTGTATTGATTGTGCATTCGTGTTTGTGGACACGGGTATCTCTTCCTAACGCGGCTGCCACTGGCTCGCCGACCTCGGGTCCTGGAGCAGCCGTCCTCCCTTTGGGACGCGCCGTGGTGGCCGTTCGTGGAGCCCGTTGGTCCTGAAGGAGAAACCGCCCAGATGAGGCCGCAGTGGCGAGGCCGTGGTACGTTTTGTGGAAGGCTCCCTTCTGAAGTGGATATTCCTTTTTCTTGTCTTTAGGGCATCGTGCAGCAGTTTTTGGTGCTGCTGACGACCAGCTCTGATGACAGTCTTCGGTTTCTTAGCTTCCGCTTGGACTTTAACGAGCATTATGAAGCCAGAGAGCCAAGGCTCCGCGTGTCTCTGGGCTCTCGAGGGCGGCGCGGCTCCCACACGTGAACCTTCCCCGTCCTCACAGGGAGCTGCGCACGCTGGCAACTGCATCACGAGACGAACATTCACATTTAAGTCCTCAAGGCCACTGGCATGCTGCGGACGTCCGCCGTTCCTGCCCACGAGTCCTTCAGTGTTTTCGATGGCATGGCGTCTGGTAGAATCAAAGTCATGTTTTTATACATTGGAGGTGAATATATTTGTAATATCACTAAGTTAAACAGGCTGGTTTGCACTATTCAAATTTATTTTCTAAAGTCTTCATATTTAAGAGATACCACACTTTGTTGAGGCTTCCTAAGCTCTCCATGATATAATTTATATTTGTCACTTTTTAAGAACTCACAGTTGCTTTTAGAGAAAATTAGAGCGAATGGATGTTCATTAGTTGAGATGGTAATGTCATTGCTATTTTTTTAACATCCTCCTTAGAGGCAGTTTTTGTTAGATAATCAAATTAAATTGAAACAGAATGTCCCTACTAAGAAAATATAATATAGAGCATTTTATTTTGGTTTGTAGTGTGTAAAATATTAACCTCTGTAAGAATGTTTATCCTTCTTTCAAAGTTTATCTTCTTTCAAAGTTTACATTTTTATATTTAATTTACTCTTTCAGATAACTTCTAAACTAGTGTAGAACTAGTTTAATGGGGGGGGGGACATGAACAGAACACCCACAAGCCTCGATTTCTCCATCTGTCGGCTGAAGTGATATGTAAATACGATGACTAGAAAGTTAATGAACTATTTTATTTTCAAATTCTGATAAGCATTGGAAAGAAACTGACTTGAATAATGAAGATTTCCTTTCTCCTTGCCTATTTTTTCATTGTAAATATTTATATACTACTGACCAGATGTGGGGGGGAACTGTTTTTTGTAAAAATGTCATATCAAGTCACATAAATCTGCCTTTATGATGTTGCATAAGTGAAACTTAGAGAATTAAAAGCAGTTATCTTTCAGACGTATCGGTTCTTCCTTGAATGAATACTCTGTGAAGAGACCGAGTTCACCCGCCACGGTCACGGGCCGGGCTGGCAGTCTGACGTGAGGCGCGTCGGGGCATGAACTGTGCCGTCCGTGAAACCTGGGAAATGGGCCTTGTGTGGCCTTAGGGCGGAGCCGGGGGTGGGGGCGGGGTACCCTTCATTCAGCTGTCTGCTGTTCCCGTCTGAGTCCCTGTCCCACCAGAGGGGCGATTAGAAGTCCTGGCTCTGCAGAGATGGATTTGTGGTGAAGGCCAGAACTTTTTAGGATACCAGTTTAGTTTTAGTTTAAAAATTTGTAAAATTGGAGATTGGATGCAGGTTTCTCTACTGGGACATTTCCCAGAAGTGACAGTGTGTTGCGTACAGGTCCCCTCGCCCAATCCCCAAGTGGGCACACCTGGGCAGACTTTTGCCAGCCCAGACCAAGTAGAGCAAAGCGGCAATCACCATCAACTCCTGCGGGGGCTTGTTTGCGCGCTCCCAGACCCCGAAGTGACCTTTTTTTGGGCTTTTTTTAGGGCACAGCTTGCCGGCAGGCCCAGCTTCAGTCCTGGAGGCTGGGCTCTGAGGGGCGAGCACAGCCCCGGAGGGCGCTGAGCTCGGCCACCCGCTGCAGACTCTACGCTGAGCTCCTCAGAAAGCGCAAATCCCCTCAGAACAGCTGCTCATGGAGCTCTTCTGTAAAGCAGAGTGGCATAATGTGGACTTTGGAAAAGCAGGGGTTGCCTCTATCTCCCAGAGAAATTTCCCAAAGATTTTTTGACCTTGGAGCCTGTTTTTATTATCTTTAAAGCATTTCTCCTTTAGTCCTCAGTAGAGACCACTCTGGAAAATGCTAATCCAGATTTGGGGACTAAAACTCCATTTGAGCTTAAAAGCCATCACATAATTAGGCATGGTTTGTGGGTTATGGAGCTCTCTCTGAGAGGGGCCTCCCAGTGGGGCCAGGAGGTCCTGGTGGGTCTCAGGATGGAGTTGGGGGTCTGGCAGACGGAGATGGGGCCACAGAAGGGCCCGGGCAGCCCAGAGGGTGGTGTGTCCATCCAAGAGGCGTTGCAAGAGCTCGTTTCAGACCCCACTGGAGACACCATGTAAACGGGCAGGCCTGTCACAGAGCAGGGTCCCACTTGGTGGTTGAGGCGGGAGGGCCAGTTGCAGGGCCAGATCATCTCTGGAGACCGATGTTCTGGTGTGGCCCTGGGTAATGATAATCGTGCTAACCTTTCAGGTTGTCGTGAAGATCAGAGATCACTGTATGCACCTGGTCAGGCTCTTAGCAGGTTCTTTATAAACAGAGCTGTCATGTTTCTGGTGGACTGGGCAGCTCCCGCAAGCCCAGCTCACCTTTCATGCCATTGAGGATGCCTCTTACTGCCCAGGAAGGCCCGGGACCGTGGCTGCAGGCACAGATCACCCCTGGTCAGGACTTAACTCCCTCGAGTCCTGTCAGGTTGGCAGGCTTGACTGAAGAGGGGAAGGGGGTCACCTGTCCCTCCTGCATCGCATGCGTATGTCACCAGTGGAACTCACGGCGTCGTGATTCTCCCAGCCCTATGGAGAATGTGTCCTGGCTTGATAGGACAGAATGTACAGCCAACATGAACCTCCCACTTCCTAGGAAGATAGCACTTTTATCCAATAACCACGGTCATGCTCAAGGTGGGTCCCAGGGCACAAAGTCTATGTGATGTGTTGAGTGTTGCCAGGGGAGGTCGCGTGGACCATGGAGCGGGCAGGTGGGCTAGTGGCCCATGGTCGGGTGTGGCTCCTCCTGGCAGGGATTGCTGGTGTGAACGCTGTGGCCACAAGCAGTGAGGACAAGCCTCCTACCTCAGTATTCCAGAAGGCCGAGCGTAGCTGGCGGGGCCTCGGTGGGCAAGAGGATGCACCGCCCTGCTCGAGTGCCATTTGCATGTGTGGAAATAATCAGGTGAGTGCAGCTCCCATGTGAAAGGCAGAGCCGCTCAGGTCTGTGTCGGTGACTTGGGCGGGGTCGCTCGGGTCTGTGGGACCGTGATGCGGTGGGAAGATCACTGTCTGGGAGGAGTGATGGTCCTTCCCATGAGCCTGCTCGGTTTCACCCATGTCCGATCACTGGACACTCTTTGGTGGGTAGGTTCTAAACAACCGTTTCCTTTTCTACTCTGCTAATGAGACTACTCAGATTTCTGAGTTCCAAGCTCATTTTTGTTTCTAGAAAACCGTGTTTTCACTCAGCGCTTTTAAGTTTGTTGGCATTGATTTTTATATAGATGCCTTTATATTTCATTCCTGATATGGTTTGTTTTCGTTTTCCGTTTTCTTCTGTTCACTTTTGCCAGTGGGATTATAGTTTATGCCTTTCAAGAACTATCTTTTGACACTCATTTTACTATGTATAGATGCCATTTTTCTGCTTTATAAATTACTGTTCTGTATTTAATACCTTAATTTTTCTCTCTTGGTTTATTTTTTTCCCAGATTGAATGCTTAGGGAGTTTCTTTTTCTCGTTGTGTTTCTGACTGAATCATTCTCTGCATCAACTTGAGTTACATCACAGGCCTTCATGGGGCGCTTTTCCTATGTCCTTAATTCCTAACTAATCCGTGATTCTCTTATTTTCTTCCGACTATGAATATAGTTACAGTTCAAAATGTCCAGGAAGTTTGCTTTTTTTCCTCCTCTCAATTTTTTTTTTCTGAAAAAGAATAATAGAAAAATGCACAGAAATTCGTCAAACCATATATCAAAGAATATAACGTTACCCGTATGAAAGAGTGGGACAAAAGAACAGAAAGAAACCTCAACAGACTGAGCAAAGTACCCAAGAGCCGGTGTTCGTGGGTCTTTAGAGTCTTTGACGGTTCACTTCAGAGGTCCGTGAACTGATGACTCAGCAGATGCTTCGGGGTAAATGGCTTTGGGCAAACCGTTTGGAAGAAAATTTAAGAGCTTTACCTCCCACCACACAAGAAAACACATTTACTTCTGGATGGCCATTCACATTGTTTCTAGTATTTGAGTGTATAAAGAGAGCCGCTGCGAACAGGTGTGTAAGAGTCTATGATAAATGCCTTCATTTCTCCGGTGACCAGGAGACGGGATGGCTAGACTGTCTATGGCAGGCTTACGACTGACTAGTCTTCAGAGACTGGCTGGCGTGGTTAGCGCGGGTCACTCTCTCGTCTGCACTTCCCCGAGTGCCCTCTCACTGCTGGAAGTCCTCACGGGGGCGCGGTGGCATCATTTCCCTGATGTCCGAGGACATCGAGCGTGTTTTCATAGGCTTATCTACCATGAAATCGTTTCTGCTAAAATATTTGCCCATGTTTTTTGGGTTGTTTTCTTGCAGTTTTGAGAATTCTTTATATATCTGGATATATATCATATATATGTTATATATATATGTTATCATATAGGTGATTTGTAAATGTTTTGTCCCAGTTTAAGTCTTTTTAAAAAATTGGAGCATCCATCAGGCTCTGTGCTTGTCAGCACAGATTTTTATTTCAGCCCGTGGTGTGGACAGAGTCTCCCACAGGTGCGGTTTGCAGGAAAAAGACTCCAGACAAATGAGTATGCGTAGAGAATCATAGCAAGGCTGATAACTCCTTTTTTGTTGTCATTTTAACCACAAAATGAAACTTGTCAGAAGTGGTATCTATGTATTAGTGTGCAATTAGCCAAGAGTCATCGCCATGATTATAGTAGTTTCAACTGTTGTCAACTTTAAATCATAGCTGTTTGTTTAGAGCTGCCTGTCCATCACAGGGGGCTGTTGAGCACTCGAAATGTGCCTACTCTGAATTGAGATGCGCTCTAAGTGTAAAACACACTGCAAATTC